AGCCTGAAAAGGGGGGGGGGGTGACTAAGACGGAATCTCTCTCTCTCTCTCTCTCTCTCTCTCTCTCTCTCTCTCTCTCTCTCTCTCTCTCTCTCTCTCTCTCTCTCTCTCTCTCTCTCTCTCTCTCTCTTATCTGTTAAATAAAAACTATAACAGCATATTACCTAAATAACAAGTTCTGAAAATTGAACTGATAACAAATAATATGAATATGTTTCTTTGTATTATCTTATATTATACATGTAGAAGTCTGCTCAATGAATCATCATAAAAGATAGAAATGACACATAATATATTATTGCATTAAAAAAATCAAAATAAAAGCGTATAAATGCAATAGGTCCACTGACCTTTGTAATTAGTTTTTTTATTACTTCACACACAATCGCCTTGACACAGAAATATATGAATGGATGTAACAACCGTTTAATTCATTCTATAAGTCAGAAGTTTTATCTGATTTGCTATAAAATAAAAATAAATATTTTTATTTTCCTATTAAAATAAAACAACTTTTATACTTCAGCGATTGGCAACAATTGCAATTAGCTTTTAGCCCGAAACTCTGAAGTTATGTAAACTGAAACAGGCGATACCACCACTTTTGACATCATTGTATATATTCAACTGTCGGAGCGAGTACGTAGAAAAAAGAAATTATGTATTTTGAATACTAGTAATTTTTTGTAATCGGTAGAAATAAAATTCTGTTTCTTGTGATTTTCAGCGTTGAGTACAAAATGATGCCTCAATTATTCTAAATGGAATCAATCTGAAAAAAGATACCTGTATTGGCTTGAAATTCACTTTATAACTATGTTTAAATTTTAATGATCAATTTCATTTTTATTGAAAAAATAAAATGTCTGTAAAAAGTTACTTGTATACTATTTATCATGAATGAAACAAAAACACTTTTGTTTATTTCTCAAATCTGTTTTAGGGGGTTAAATTCCAACGAGATAACCAATATTCAGACCAATGCCTTCAACGGTTTGTCAAATTTACAGACACTGTAAGTATATATATAAGCACGTCATAACATATATAGCAATACGACGGCCCGTAAATATTTCTGTGATAACACGTTTTCATAAATAAGACAAGCAAAGTCCCATATCACCTGCACAATTTTGTATAAGGATGCTTTCTGGGACAATAATGTCTTCTGTGTTGCATTTTAAGTATCTGAGATGGACAGTTGTATCTTTTTTATATTCCTTTAACAAAACGTTGTCGCCTAATGCACACCTCATCTTTTCGTCTGCCATAAGACGTCATACTTTTACTTCCTTTAATTAAGGAGAGTTCCACCAAGGGAGATAATTTTACTAATAATTTAAGTCAACTTTATTCTAGTTTTAAATTAGCAAAATGACATTTGCAAGCAAATTCTTTTTAACTTTCAATTGATTGTGAAGAATTCTTGCTATTGAACTGATATTTATAATGTTTTAAGCATTTCTTGGGTTTTTACAGCATTCTAAATATTGTGGTGTTTTTAACACATTGATTTAATCTAATTTTAGACCCCAGTCTTACAGAATCAGTGTACATAAATGAAATAAAATTACATATTTCTAGTTAGAGCATTTCCTGAAGATTTATTTAATATTTCCAATTTTTATTTTTAAAGTGCATCGTTACTGCATTTTCTTTTCGATTAATCTCTGGGTGTTTTCTAAATATTTTGATACAACTGTGCTAAAAATAGAATATTGGGCCATAATAGGGGTCCCCACAGGCACCAGACAATTTTGATACTGGAATTTATTAGAGGACACATGATGCTAATCAGAAACTATAAAATCAGTCAAAATAATCACAATGCCTTTCATAATAAAATTTGGATTTTGCATGGTTTTCTCGTAGACACGCACTTAAATATTAAGGATGAAGAAAGATATAATTTGTGAAAGTACAAAAATGTGTTATTTCAACGAGTCCAGGAACGCGTTCCAATAATTTTCAAATAAAATAATTAATTTTATTTAAGTGTGAATTTCCATTGCAAGTCATGATATTACACAGAAATTTTGAGAAAATATTAAGTTCAAATCTGTGTCTAGGCACCAGTCCTTTAAAGAACTTATGATGATGAACTATCCTGTTAAAAGAATACCCTTCATGTATAAAAACAAAAGCCTGGATAGAGTTTTAAAGTTTACAGACTTATCCTTCAAATCGTCGTTAGAATTCAAATATTTACTGTAGACGTACATTTTCCGCGTGGGATTAATTGACGCTATGAACAAGGTGCCAAATTTCCGCGAAAATTTGTCACATTGTACAAAAGGTGCAACTTAAAATGAAAGTACATTAACATAATGAGGGTATAAAGGTAATACATAATTAAAGCGTATGTATACTACGAGTACATGTGTATTTTCCATGTTTATCTATCCTTAATACACTGTAGGTGCAAACTACGTCAAAAATGAAAAAAAGTTTTTTAAGAATTAACAGAATAGACATTTCTTTCACTTAAATGATTATTTTTTGTTGCCTATAAAAATACATGCATTACATTTGAACCTTCCCCACGATTTCAGTTAAGGGCACTTGTGACACGACTATTGTTATCAAACGGATCCAATTACATAGACGCTATGACCCGTATTTTTAATGCAGTTTTCAGATTCCTTTGTGTTTTGACTTGTAATTGATTGAATTAATCAACACCTGGTTAAGCAGCTGTTTAAATGGATGTGAACCAAAAACTTGGCTACTAATAAGGTTTGAAATATTTAATATTCGGTTAAAAAATTACGACACGCCAACGCGTATTTGAATGAATCAGTACACCAAGATCAGTTATTTCTGAAAAATCAGTCACGCTTTAGAGTACAAGACCAGGCGATCTATTTTAACGAGGCAGAGTCTAATTACATTGTATTTCTGCCCTAGGTATTTTGATAAGTTTTTGTTAATTAATTTTTTCTGTTATATTTATTGTTTAAGGATTAAAATCGAATGTTTACCACCCCAATTTCCTAGTGGGCCATCTTAAATGTTGTCAAACTTTACTATTGAACCCTATGGGAATTTGTTGTAAAATCGCCAAATTATTACATTTTATCAATATTTTTTGTACTTCTGCCCTAGGGATTTCTTTTTCATTCAAGTAAATGAAAGTAAATGTAAAAAGCCACCAAACTGTGAAATTTCAAAAAAGTTCACCATCTCCATTGGTCTTGGTAGTAATTACTAAGTTTAATTTTTCGGAGCCAAATACCTCTAAAATTGCCATATTACGATATAAATACATATCTTTGCTGATGAATTATCGGTGCATACATTTTTTTCGGTATAAATAGCAATTTTTAGATTGCTAGTATGTTTCGTGGGAAGTTTTGTTATCAGTTTTTAGTATAATATCCATTGACGTCTTGAACATACGAGCGAGTCATGCATCATTCTTCAGCCTCATGCATTGCTTACAGAATCCGAAAATGGTGACGTTGTTAGAGCCATATCAACGTTATTTTTCCAATAATTATCGTAAAATTACATTTTCAGATCAGTAGGAGTTATAAATAATGTTAATTTTGTATTAAAATTAAATTAATGACTGCATGAAATTAAAAAGCTGCACAAAGTGATGCGCACTCGAATTAGACTCGGCCTCGTAAAATAGTGTTGCTTTCATTTTTTTTTATGAGAGAACCTCCGATTTCCCCTATCCTTGAACAAGGGTTTCTGTTTGAACCGGACTGGAGCACACTGATCTGCCACCCCACAACAACACAAATAGGTTTCAGTGTGATAATGTTTATGACCTGCATTTTTCAAGGGAGTGTAACACTCGGAAAAAATGTTCTTCATATATTTGATTAAATTGTCGTTTATAGCGAGGTCCGCTCTGCATATGTATGTTGTTCTGAGTCATTTGATCATGGTACTAAGGAAGATCATCTTTGAAAACACAAATATGCACAGGTTATAGGTGCATTGAGCAAAACAATAGTAATTTTTCTCTCATATTTTTCAATATATAGGGGACTACATTTTTTTGACATGTCAAGAATCCGCGTAATTTTTACCCGCGGATTAAACTGATATAATTGCGATCGCGCCTTATGACCCCGTGGAAAAAAGTCATGAACGTCTACAGTATATGTTTCCAGATCGTTTCAGACATTATATATATGATATATGATTTTTGTTCAGAAACTTTTTTTTTTAAATTTCATCCTACGAATTCGAATGTGTTTGATTGTCATCATTGTTGTCTGTTGTATTTGGAAATGTGTGTAGTTTTAGCAAATCGATTACACCCGGTCACACATAAACAAAAACAAAGCCATGTTAACAAACACAGGATTACCCTGTTTGTTCAAATAATTGACATTTGTAAGGAAAATCAAAATTGCAAGCAAAAAAAAGGTAATGGGTATAAGTTTATGCCCCTCTATAATTAGCTGTCCATTGCCATTTAAAACAAAAGACAATGCAGATTAGCAATACATGTTTCATTATATATGGTTAAATTTTCATGGCAATGACTTTTTTATGCTTGGACCGATCGCCATCGTCTCACGCCACGGTCTGGAGTCTGCAAATAAGTCTCTCCTACTCGTGGCTGCTTGATCACAAATAGTGTCGTAATCTTGATTATTTACGCCTCTCCATTGTGACATCATATTCAGTCAATGACAATATTTGTTTCCATCAACAGTATTAAGAAATATTTCGTATACTGCGATTGGATATTGAAATCCGCGACAAAGTTTATCATCCGACTATGTTTTCCTCCCATTGGTTTTTTATTTTAATGAGCTACGAAATATTCTCTTCTCATTAAACCCCGGCCAGAGTAGGAGTAGACTAGAGTGGAGAGGACACTTTGGCCGTGGTTTGAGACTATGACCGATCTCCACACTTAATGGTTCATTCATCGTAATCTTTTTTAAAGATTGAAATGAAAATAAAGACCTCTAAAGGGTAAAATTGATTGTAAAACGACTGATTGCCCTGGAATTTGTGTTCTTTTTTTGTAGAGGTCTTTCTTACAACAGAATCACCACAGTTCAGGACAATGTTTTTGCCGGCTTACACAATTTAAGTTATCTGTAAGTAAAATCCACATGTGACGTCATTCTTTTGTTTGAGCGCTCTATTACTTCTAAGAGATGGAGTGTTGCAAATTACATTGAAAACGGAATTTGTTATGGTTCTATTTTCCTTTCTGTGCCTCTTCACGGATATATTATTATTTCGTATAATGCATAACAACCATACTTTTAATATCACTTTCTCATTTCAAATTTCTATAAATAATATCATAAAATTCTGAACAGGGCATAAAACATTGGTCCCTGAAAATTTAAAGGATGGGATCAGGTACATAGGAAATGTAAGCATCCTACATTTATCTTGCCCGTTCACAGCCACCATGAGCTCTAATCATTGATCAAGTGGGCATTCAGTATTAAACAGACGCCTATTGGTATGAAACAAATTGACCAAATGATAGAATATATTGTGGAGAAGTGAATAGAGCGACCATATAATTTATCTCATGTTGACTTTAAACAAGATTGCTGAAATCTCTGTAACATTAACTTATCTGCTATTAAGCTGTCTTGGCTTCAAGGGGAGATAAGCACCGCTTTCAAATTTACCTGATCTGTAAACCTCTGTCAATAAGCCGAAGTTAAGGCTGGGATTTGATTCTCTGATTTCATATTTAGTTTTCTGTGGTTGTGTAAATTTTGTGTACCTTTTCTGGAGATCGTACTGACCAACGAATTTACATTCAAGTTTGTGATTCTTATGGTATATATGCCGACGTGATAAAGAAGCAACTAGAATCTTTCATTTCTTCTTCATAAGAATATGCTATGTATATGCATGTATAATCATTCTTACAAATAATTTAATAAATGATAAGAAATATCATGTTAAAATATTTCAATTGTAGTTCAAAACGGCGGATTTCTTTTTACGATTCAATCGATAACTTTTGTTTGTCAAAACATAATTTTTACGTAAATTTATGCTACCAAATATACCGATCTGCGTTTGAAGCATTATGTAATTAAATATAATGATATTTTTTTACTTATTTATGACAACATTGTATTATTTTTCAAATGAAATTATACAAGACAGCTTAGTGTCGATAAAATGATTTCATTATTTCATATATTTTGATATGTCTTTCAAACAGTATTCAATCTCAAAAGTCCATTAAACAATGCAATTTTGTGGCAGATCAAACACTGACCTCTAAAACATCAGAGGTGGGATAATTTGTCTAAGAAACTTTGAAGAAATTATAAAGATGGGCTTTCCTGTTAATAGCATACCATTTATGTATAAAAATAAAAAGCCTGGCCAGAGTTTTAAAGATTACAGACTTATCCTTTAAAATCGTCGTTAGAATTCAAATATTTACTGTAGACGTACATTTTCCGCGTGGGATAAATTGACACTATGAATGAGGTCACAAAATTTCCGCCAAAAATTGTCACAGCGTTTATAAAGTGCATCTAAGAATGAAAATGCATTAAATTGATGAGGGTTTAAAGGTACTACATAATTAACGCGTATGTATTCTACGAGTACATGTATATTTTCCATGTTTATCTATCCTAAATACACTGTAGATGCAAACTACGTCAAAAATGCAAAAGTGTTTTAAGAATTCACAGAATAGACACTTCTTTCTCTAAAATGATTACTTTTTGTTGCCTATAAAAATGCTTGCATTAAATTTGACCCCCCCCCCCCCCAACATCGATTTCAGTTAACATCACATGTCACACGACTATTGATTTCAAGCGGATCCAATTACATAGACGCTAAAACGCGTGTTTTACAGCAGTTTTCAAATTCCATTGTGTTCTTACTTCTTAACTGATTTAACAGCTGTTTAAATGGATGTGGACCAAAAACTTGGCTACTAAATAAATTTTGAAATATTTAATATTTGGTTTAAAAATTACGACACGCCCAAGCGTATTTAAATAAATCAGTACACTAAAATCAGTTACTGTATTTCCGAAAAATCAGTCACGCTTCAGAGCACAAGACCAGTCGGTCTATTTTAAAAGATGTCGCTTTTTTCTTATGAAAGACTCCCGATTTCCCCAATCATTGAAGAAAGGTTTTTGCTTAAATCGGACTGGAGCACACTGACCCGCCACCCCACAACAACACAAATAGGCTTCAGTGTTGATAATGTCTACGGCCTGCATTTTTCCAGTGAGTGTAACACTCAGAAAAAAAATGTTCTTCATATACCGTATAAGTAGAATTTTAGGGAGGATTTAATTTTGGCATTTTTAGTGAGGAAGCTGACATCGATAAAATTGAATATCGCTAAAAATCAATTGCGTATTATATGTAATAGATACTGTAGTAAGCAGTTTACAATCCCTAAAATTACTTCTCGCCAAAAATAAAATATCAGTTCTTAGGTAGAAATCTCTAAATTTGCGTCTCGCTAAAATTTCCACTTATACGGTATTTGATTAAATCGTCGTTTCTAGCGAGATCCGAGCTGGTGGGAACCTTCTGCATACGTACATGTATGCTGTTCTGAGTCATTTGATCATGGTACTCAGGAAGTTCATCTTTGAAAACACAAATATGCACAGGTTATAGGTGCATTGAGCAAAACAAAAATAATTTTTCTCTCATATTTTTCAATATAGGGGACTATTTTTTTTTGACATGTCAAGAATCTGCGTTATTTTTCACCCGCGGATTAAACTGATATTACGATCGCGCCTTATGACCAAGTGGAAAAAAGTCATGTACGTCTACAGTATATGTTTCCAGATTGTATCAGACAAATACATTATATATATGATATATGGTTTGTGTTCAAAAACTTTTTTTTTTCTAAAATTCTCATCCTACGAATGCGTTTGATTGTCATCATTGTTGTTTGTTGTATTTGGTAATGTGTGTAGTTTTAGCAAATCATTTACACCGGTCAAAGATAAACAATAAAAAGGTTCAAAGCCATATTAACTAACACATGATTACCTTGTTCATTCAAATCATTAACATTTTTTAGGAAAAATCAAAATTGCAAGCCAAAAAAAGATAATAGGAATAAGTTTATGCCCCTCTATAATTAGTTGTCCATTGATAATCAAGAAAAAATGCAGATAAGCAATTTTGTTTCAGTATACATGTATATGGTTAAATTTTCATGGCAATGACTTTTTCATGCTTTGACCGATCGCCATCGCCTAAAGTCTCGGTCCGGAATCCGCATATAACTCTCTCCTACTCGATGCTGCTTGATCACAAACAGTTTCGTAATCTTGATTATTTACGCCTCTCTATTGTGACATCATATTCAGTCAATGACAATATTTGTTTCCATAGCAATTGACATCAACAAGAAATATTTCGTATACTGCGATTGGATATTGAAAGGTCGCGACAAAGTTCACCATCCGACTATGTTTTTCTCCCATTAGTCAATATTTTAATGAGATACGAAATATTCTCTTCTCATTCAACCCCGGCCAGAGTAGGAGTAGACTAGAGTGGGAGAGGATCGTACATTTTGGGCGTGGTTTGAGACTATGACCGATCTCCACACCTAATGGTTTCATTCATCGTAATCTTTTTTAAAGATTAAGATGAGATAAAAAGATTTCTAAACGGTAAAATTGATTGTAAAACGACTGAATACCCTGGAATTTCTGTTTTTCTTTTTGTAGAGGTCTTTCTTACAACAGAATCACCACAGTTCAGGACAATGCTTTTGCTGGCTTACACAATTTAAGTGAACTGTAAGTATAACTAGTACTTATTATAACAGGAACTGTTACAGATGTTCTCCAAACTTTTTCCCAATTACTAATTGAAAACAAGAATGTATGTTTGTATATTTGCTGAATTCTGATGTTTTTTTTTCTGCGGAACCTTTTAAGTTCATTTATTTTCTTGCATCCATACTTTTGACATCACTTTCTCATTTAATATTTCTATAAATAATATACTGACACGCAAAAGAAATGCAACAAGCAGAAATCTACAAATGTTTGATTTTTTTATCTTATGATTTTCAAAAATGAATCGAGATCTGAGCGAAGGAATATTCTTTGCCATTTTTCAATTCCCGTTTTTCAGATGATTAGGTCGAATTTTCTCTAACTTAGAGCAGTTAAGCCACCCTTGGACTTCCGGTACAAGGACTGTCCATAATGAATATGATCCGTAAGACCCTGTTGAGGCGTAATGTTGTGAATTTTTGCATCATCAACTCTCCATTACATTATATTGAAATTGTCCAGCTAGAGCAATGAAAATGCGTATTTAAACCACTTTCATGAAGCCTTAGCATCGTTACGGGAAACAAGGAGAGTTTATTTTTTGAATTATTGCTGTATTACTTATGATGAACAGTTAAAACCCTTAAAACTCCATCATATTACCAAATGTTTTGTTAAACATGCAATTTTTGATTTCTGTTAAGCAGACTCAAACTTGACTTCCGGATATGGTATGAAAATCGTTCAACCGTTTAATAACCCATGTTTACTAAATTGAAGATATCCAGAATTTTAAGTACAACATTTTTACTTTACATAATTATTTCTTCCTAAAGTAGAAAGTTGCGTTTCTTTTGCTTGTCAGTATAATATAATTTTGAGAACAGGGCGTAAAGCAAGGGTCCCTGAAAATTTAAATGGTGGGATCAGGTGCCTTGAAAGTGTAAGCATGCTATTTTGACCGTCCACAGCCACCATGAGCTTTAATCATTGATCAAGTGGTTATTCAGTATTTAAACAGAAGCCTAGCAATTGGTATGAAACAAATTGACCAAATGATAGAATATATTGTGGAGAAGGTGAATAGAGCGACTATATAATTTATCTCATGTTGACTTTAAACAAAATTACTGACCAATGAATTTATTCAAGTTTGTGATTCTAATCGTATATATGCCAACGTGATAAAGAAGCAACCAGTATCTTTCATTTCTTCTTCATAAGAATATGCTATGTATATAATCATTCCTACAAATAATTTAATAAATGATTAGAAAAATCATGCTAATATATTTCAACTGTAGTTCAAAACGGCGGATTTCTTTTTACAGTTCAATCGATAATTATTGTTTTTCAAAACATTTTTTCGTAAATTGATGCTACCAAATACACCTATCTGCGTTTGAAGCAATATGAAATAAATATAATTATATTTCTTAACTTAGTTATGACAACATTGTATTATTTTTCAAATGAAATTATACAAGACAACTTAGTGTCGATAAAAGAATTTCATTATTTGATATATTTTTTTATATGTCTATCAAACAGTATTTAAGCACAAATCTCCATTAAACAATGCAAATTTGTGGCAGAGTAAACATGGACCTCTAAAACATCAGATGTGGGATAAGATGCCATGGAGGAGTGAGCATCCTCCGCCGACTGGTCACATCCGCCGTGTGCTCCCTGTCATGATCGGGATATAACGGAAACATACGTCGCGATGATTCAGTGTGTAAATAGTGGTCTAACAATTAGTTTGAAAAATTCCAGTAAGGATTTGAATAAAGATATTTGCTGAGAAGGTCATTGTATCGACAATAAAACTAACGAAATGAAGACTTTAAACGAGACCTCTAATATTCTTGTTCACCAACTTGTTTGTCAATAAGTTACCTCGTTGTAGGAATTGTTCATTAATAGATCTTGCTCTAGTGTATCGAATAAACTGAACGATATAATCCCTTTATTCAGGTGATGAAGGTACAATGTATATAAGTGCATATGTAAGGAAGTTGACGATTGAAAAGTAAAAGTCATTATATTTATCAGAAAGCTTGGGTTTTAAATTACAATTAACTTTCTTCTCTAGTAAAATATTCAAATATGAAACAGATGTGTTAGACTCTGTTGTATGTTAAATTCAAGCTCACTAGGGTAATCTAACAACCAAGCTTAATGATAAACCTGATGAATTTAACTTTCCAATATCCCTTACTAATGCAGCAATATACCTTCATCACCTGCATACGGGGTTTATATATTTCAGTCGATTTGATACGCAAGAGCATGGTCTACGTAAGGAGAATTTCTAAAACAAGTGGAAAATTATGGACAAACAAGTTAATGAAACAAGAATATCAGCTGTCGATTTAAGTCCAACAATATTTTTAAAAAGGTATGGTTGAAAGATATATGATTTCATAAGAAATAGAAAACATATGAAAACTAAAAAAATAATAAGAATTTTCAGTATCGGTATTATTGAGGCTAATACTTACTAACTTATTAATTAAAAGGTTTTATTTTTTGTGAAAATAAGCACATCTTGAACAAACGACATTTTTGCTTACAAAGGAGTGTTCGATATTGAACGCTCGTATTCGGAATGTTTCGGGCAACTCACATCAGCATTCAATAAAACACACCAAGATATTGAACGCTAAAATTCTCTAGACTTTTAGTAGTTTTTTTATAATAGACTATTTATCAGCTTTATTACAAGTATATGTTTGTAAACATTTCCCGAGTACCATGAGATCTGGTGTCGAGCGAAGCGAAGGGCCAAATCGAATGGCGAGGGAAAAGTTTAACAGCATACTAAGTACATGCTTCACACGAGAAATTAAACCCCTTGTGTTTCGGTCTATTTAATTAAACATCTTTGTGTGTTTCTTATTATCAAATTAAGATAAGGATAGTTTAACCCTGATATTTGCCATTTTGTACAGGCCCAGATGTGATAATTATCCCCTCGGGGTAATATCTACCTGTCAGGTGACGTCCACAGTGAGTAGTTTTCAAACACAATACAGGTTAATTTCTATAGATTCAAAAATCTCTGTTTGAAGATAGTCATGTCATTTTGATGGATTTATGTCAGGATTTAAGTCAGGAGCATTTTATTTTTTGGAGATTATTAAATATTTGTGTTTGGTGGTAAAATTGATAATTTTCTCCGGAAAGCAAAGAATTCCACAGAAATTGAAAAGCAGAAAAAAAGAGAGGTTTACAGTTGGATATGTGCACTACTTGAGCAATACAGGACGGTTTTAATGAATTTGAACTTCTTAAAACAATCATATTTAGACTTTTTGCTGTTTCCCAATCAGTCCATATCTGTTTAATTGTAATAAAAGAATAATCAAATAGTAAGTAAAATTTTACTGCTCTCTCTTCTCAAAGCGATAATTCTGATTAAAGTACCAATGTCAATGGTATATGCTAAATATTCAATTAATTACTAGACATTTCTTAATTTCCTCTTTTAATTTTGATTTTTTAAAATCATTTTTTTTTTCATGTTTTAATTTTGGCTAATGTTGAATAATTCAGGAAGAAAAGGGGAAGAGAAAGGGATTTTTCATCGTATACAAATTTATGTAACTATGTAGATTTTTTTTTGACTATGTAGCACATCAAGGTCTATTATTCATTGTCTGACGACCTTGTTCTGTGTCCATAATTGTGACCTATCATTGGTAATGATTTGCTCAGTAATTTTGCACACAATGGCAGAGTCATCCAACCATGAAGCTTTGGCTAGGGGTGTACCAAGTGATTTGGTAAACGCAAAAATCCTTTGTTCGAGGTGTGAAACATGTACTTAATACATTTATCACATATTTTCCCCTTTATCCCGTTGATATAGCTCATGTGATTTCGTTTTCGTATCAATACTATGTATTCCTACGCCGCGTGACGTAATGTAATTAAACAAATGCATGTGTATGATGGAGAGAATGACTTAATTTGTCAAATTTCACTTGATGTATTCTAACAAGATTTCATTCATGAATTAAAAAAGATAAGCGCTGAAATATTTTCTTTCTTTTATATTTGTACGAACTATTTCATACAGCGTAATTTTATTTATTACGTTATTTGGTCCGAGGTAACCGAAAAGGAACTTTGAATTAGAAATAACGACAAAATACACATTTATAGTGAACAAAAATATGTGATAAAAAGAATCTAACATGGTTTGTGATTTGATATGATTTTTATCCAACTCGCTGTGTTTTCTATCCCCTCGCCAAGGCTCTAGGATAGAAAACATACAACTCGTTGGATAAAAATCATATCAAACCACAAACCATGGGAGATCCTATATTTATTCTTTGCGTAATCTCATCAATTATTTATCAAAATGATAATGTGTATTCTATTAACATTCCGTGTGTAAAGTGAGGAATGCGTATACCTATGATATCCAATTGAATCTTGATGTATATTATTTTCAATTTTCAAACTTGATTTTAGATTTCTGCACCGAAACCAGATATCCGCAATACCAAACAATGTCTTTAAAGAATTGCCAAATTTAGAGACACTGTAAGTATAGTGATTGAGCTCAAAATAAAAACAATGAAATTTTTTGGAGGAGTAGTAAGCACCTGTAGACCGGTCTCACCCATCTTTAGATTTATTATTGATCAGGTATCACCTGTAGACCGGTCACACCCATCGTTAGATTTATCATTGATCAAGTATCACCTGTAGACCGGTCACACCCATCGTTAGATTTATCTTTGATCAGGTATCACCTGTAGACCGGTCATACCCATCGTTAGATTTATCATTGATCAGGTATCACCTGTAGACAGGTCACACCCATCGTTAGATTTATCTTTGATCAGGTATCACCTGTAGACCGATCACACCCATCGTTAGATTTATCATTGATCAGGTATCACCTGTAGACCGGTTCCACCCATCGTTAGATTTATCATTGATCAGGCATCACCTGTAGACCGGTCACAATCATCGTTAGCTAAAAGGGTCTTAATAACAACCCTAAAATCTACAAAATGCCGACTTCAAACAAGCTTGATGAAATCGCTGTAACATCAACTTACTTGTTCACTACAATATCTCGATTTAAAAATTGATCATACTCAGAGCATGCTCTTGAATATCAAATAAGTTAAGAGAGGTAAACACCATGTGCCTAATATTTGAAGATTCATTTTCCGATCCCATCTGTTTGATTTCAAAATGTTCTGTCAAAAACTGTAAAACCTGTAAGGTTTTGATAACAATTTTTCGATTACTAGTAATCTTACAACTTCTATACCAAAACTGAACTGGAAATCTAATGTCGTCTACGAAATAGAATGAACCCTTTGTGGGTCCATTTGTGTTGGGGAAACCAGGTGTTCACTTTTAGGAAAAAAAATATCGATACATAAATTTCAAATTAACAACATGGAACAGCAGATTCAATTCAAGCATTTTAATTAACCTGATAATTCTATTTTGTCAATTAATGTTAAAAAAGATGCACCATGAAATACATAGAGTTAAGGTATACCTTTACTCAGCGGATTAAAAATTCCACTGATAAGAACGAAAAACCACATATTGTACATTGTACACCTATAATTCTCGTGTTAAATTTCAATTTCAAATAACTAGGTCAATGACATACTTTTCATGCTAGGGGCCCATGAGAATTTCGCGGGATATATCTCAATTTTTCACATTATGACCAATATTTTCTTCACTCACACAAATTTAACAAGTAACAAAGCTTTTTAGATAATGAAATATTAAAGTAATTGAACGACGTTGCTTCATTTAAAGAAACAATTAGAGTTTTGACCATAAATTTGATAATTATTACAGTCCGAATTTCCTCTGTCATATTTATATTTTTCCCCATTTATAATCGAATATTTAAAAAATCTGACTGATAAAAACTCAAAATCATTTATAGCATCAGGATACTTTTGTTGCCCTAATTCTCATGGTATTAACATCATATGGGGTCAATGATCAAATAATTGAGATATGCTGTCTGGAATGGTTTTTGTTCATATTTTTGAATTTCTTTATTTCATAGCATTCAATTATTTGCAATAATTATTAGCTTTAACGATATAATATTTGTAAAATGATGTTCAAAAACACATGTAACCATAACATTGTGATTAATATTGCAAGAAATAATTGATTTTGACAAAAAGGAAAAATTTAAAAAAATAGTCGGAATTTCCTCTGCATTGCCATACATTGATTTTTATTCCGGTATATTTTCTTCAAATAATAAAATATTTAATTTTTTAATTGATATTGGGTCAAAACTGTGTAATTTTATCCATTTAGAACATTTTTTGATTAAACATATTATACTTTATAAAATTTCCTTTCTGTTTTCTGAAACGTGAGTAAACGTCATCTTAACAAAGAGTATTCAAGCTCAAAAGACCATTTAAAAAATCAGACCAGGAACAAAGAACACGCGGAATTCTTAAACATAGGAGGTGGTATCAAGTGCCATGGGGGAATGGCCATCCCCTGCAGCCAGGTCAAAATCGCTCTGTGCTACTTTTTATACCAAACATCATGATAATCATTTACTTTTGTTGTAATGTTACTATTAATGTCTACCTTCAGGTATCTTTATTAAGCCAACAATATTCTTTTGGTAGATCTCTTTTCGAAAACAAAATCACATTAATACAGAACGATTCTTTTAATGGCCTTATACAATTTAAGCAAGTTGTAAGAATTAATATGCTTACTCAGTATGTTGCTGTGTACGTATACTTATTTGATGTAAAATTTAAGTGTACATGTTGTCTTTAATCAATAATTAGTATGATATTTTTTGTGTACTTGTTTTAATACACTGTAAGTATGTCCGAATATCTCAGATACTAGGAAGAACTAACATACTTCTTGCTAAAGATATTTATTTTTTGCTTAAGAGATTCATTTATTCACGTTTTGTATCTTGTTGTGGCGTCAAGGATATTAATATATTAAGTACATGCAAAAGACCAAGCAAGCGTTTAATAC